CTGTAATCTGTTCAAGGGGGGATGTAGATAGAGGTGCTTGACACCTGTTCATCCCCTCCTTTTCGCTGCTTTTTGTCTTGTTTTCGAACTGTTCTTGTATTTTTGCAGTGATGAAGTGTAATAAATAAAAAAAAAATTCAACTAGTTACCCCAATGAGAAAATTTGATTTCATTATTTTGAATTTTGTAAACATTAGATCTACAGAACTCACTCCACTTGATCATTTTCCAGTTTAAATTATTATAATCCAATACACCGTTCAAAGGTTATGGAACTTTAAAGATGGTGAAAAAGGGGGGTCCGAATGCGAAAAAGTGGGTCCTTTTTCTAGACTAATTTTGGAGCATTTTTGGAGGGCCATAACTTTGAAAGTAATAACATAAAATGTTTAATTTTCACAAAACCCCAAGATGTTAATGAGTTTTATATGTATTTTTTTCTGGGTCATTCTTTAATGTCGTTTTTTGATTTAATGGCCCTAAGTATGGTCGCTTGCTATTTCGTGCCTATATTTTGCGTGTCTCAAAAATGGAAAAATCGAACTATTTCAACAGCCTTTGAAAACGTCATTTCAAAAAAGGGTATGTGCTCCGATTATACAGTAAATTTGACAAAGTTGAAAAAAATGTCGGATTCTAATAATTATTTTTTAAAATATAAATGATAATTTAACAAAAATTCGACCATAGTTTAACTGGTTTAAGAATTAATGAAGATGAGAGAAGAGCAGCAGAAGAGACCCCATATGTAGTGTATGCCACGCTAGGCCTACCTTGTTCTATGTTGAGCGCTTTTCGCGATCACTCTAGGACCAACCTAGGGACCAGGGCTAGGTTAAAAAGATGCATCAACACTTTATCAGTTCTCCAAAGATTGTAACCTTGAAGGTACATGGACAATTATCATAAATCTGCTTAAAATGCTAAGGTAAATTGGTGTTACATATGTTTGCCTAAATATTAAGTCGAGTCTGGCCTGTCTATATTTATTATCTTGCAAGTGCACAACGGCTATGTTTACTTACAATCACATCTCACCGGAGTCTACATACGTACAGATGATTCATCCTCTAGCCTACTGTAAGTTCTATTCCAGGTCCTCCGAATCGAAAGATGGATATTTGGTTGAATATTAAAATTTGGGTAAAGAGAATAAACTCGTCAAATTAAAAACAATCTGGTAGTTTTAATTGTATATTTGATCTTGTATCATACAAACTATGCCTGCTCTCTACCTCACAGTGCAACAGCAGCGGAACACGTGCAGCAGTGGGCCAACTGGAATCATCCATTTTTGCAGCGAGGTATAAATTTGGTTTTAAGTGGTAGTGATTAGTGATTAATACGCGTGTGTTAAGTAAGCTTCACCGAATACACAATGGTGTGGTCTCGGATTTTTTTCAACTGTATTTACTCCCGAATTCACCGTATTTCAAAATGTTTTCGCTTGATGACCATGGAAAATCTGTTATTAAATGATAGTTTATCAAATATAAATAAGATCCAGCTTTAATTTAGTGGTATTTTCGATCGGTTTTATTCATGAACAATCGCTCAAAACACGAACTTTGTCACTAATTTCGGTTTTTTTTTTTTGTGGTGGATGAACACATCAATTTTAGACGGTTTACACATCAAAATAAAGCTTGTTTAAAGCCTGATAACATGCAAAAAAATCATTCCGCTAGCTTTGACGGTCATCAAGCGATCGTGCTTTGAAGTTGGAAAGGGGGTTTCCCAATGTTTTTTTATGTACGTGCAAATTCGGCTCACCAGGTTTTTCAACAAATTTTAAAATTGCACTTACTCATCAAATACTACATCAATCTTATTAAAAAGCATATGTAAGTAAACACTATAACATGCTTTTTAAAATAAATTTTATTGGCAAAAATTTACAATGAGTATAGTATTTTCAACATTAAAGTTAATGTCATTTTTTCAAATCTCACAAATTTTTGTAAACTGTATACACTCAAAATGGCTTCATTGGGATACCTAATTCAACATGATATGAAACTTACTGCGTGCATATTGAAATGCAGCAGAAAAAAATAATGTAATGGTAAACTGAATTACTAATTATAATGATAGTTTGAAGCAGGCCTAGAAAAAAATAATTGTGCCTCCGACAATGAAAACTGCCTCAACCATCAAATGTTATCTGTACACTATATACAGTAGCCCAATAGTTTATTTATTATTTTCCCTGCAAGAATGCTTCATGATGCGACTGACCGCTGGTCTCACACTTTTTGTAGCCCTGGTTTGAAAGACTTTGTTCAACAGTAATCTTATGTAGTCAACTATAATTTATTTGATGTTACACTTAAAAAGAACATTGTCAAGTTTACCTGTTAAAACTATCTGACACCTTAATCGATAAGAAGACACTAAATTGACATTGTCTCCTGCTACCCTAGAATTTAAAAGAAGGGTCTGGCGCAATACCAGAACGGCCTTACCACTGCAAAAAGTTAGGTAGGAGGTAAAAGTAGGAGAATAACTCATAACTCGCAGCATCATTATGCTGAATTGCATAATGTGTGTGATGCATAAATACTGTAGCAGCCGCAGAGAGGCGCTTAGTTCACATCATTCATCAACCTTGAGCGAGCAGTGGCTCGAACCAGCGCTGATGTTAAGGCTGTAGTTAGCACCCTTGCCTTACCGCTCAGCCACTCAACTAGTCCAGTTTTGCATGTCTTGAGGTCCAACAGAGAGGGTAAAGTCCTTTGTAGTACAAGCTAAGCTTACATACATCTTATCTAACTTGCTTTGTAAGGGTGATTTGAACTCTCATTTTCTTCACATTTTCTTGAGGAAAGTGACCCTGATGACATGTTGAACCAGTGTCATTGTGGTTTACGTTTACATTAGTACATCTTGCAAAAGACTAACAAGTCTATCCACAGTTGTCAAGAAGCATGACGATAGTGTAATTTATGACAATATTCTTGGAAGAAAGGAAATCCGATTTGGTTTGGTATTACTTGAACAAGAAATATATGAAACTTTTTTTTATGTTTGATGAATAGAATAAATCGTTTCAAGGTGAAAATGATTAAGTTAAGATGCACAAAAATGTTATGGCCTTTAAAGAGGAAATCTGTGTTTGGAATACGAAAGATAAGTGACTGTATTTCTGATAAATTTTATGAATACAATGCTTCATGTTGGATAAAATGATGGCATTGAACTTAGTTGAGGACTTGGCAATTAGCTACTGTATTTCTAGGTCAGTTTAAATTATTACTTTATACCAAGATCCATCCAGTCCAATAGATGGATTTAGAGTCAATTCATAGTTTGTGTGAATACTGTATAGTGCTAAAGATATAAAACAAGTTGTTTTATATGATCAAGAATGGCAATATCACCAATAAAACAACTGATTTGATAATTTGATAAACATCATTATTCCCATTAGGAACAACTCTTGTTACAATATATTGATAGCAAGCAGGGCATAACATGTTTGTAATCAAAGCCTGTATGAATATTAACTTAAGAAATAATGAAATAATTAATCTCATATTTCAGTGTACAGTTAATGTTAAAAGTTGTCTTGTAAACAAATAAGTCAATAAGTACACTACAACTGTTGCTCTATTATCCAGACGGTCATTCAAACCTCACTTCCTAAAAAACGGATGACCAAAGCTAACAAAAATCTATTAAACACCAGTGCCAAGTAGCCAATTTTGAAATGTAGAGCATTAAACAGTAGGGATTTCAAAACAGTTGTTTTATCCTCAATTATTATCGTGGCTAGTGTAGGAAATCACAATATGGTCCCCAGGCAAAGAGTTTGGGAAGCAAGGATGTAGAGCATAAAATGTTTGGTAATTTATTCCAGGCAGGGCAGATGGGAAATAACCACAGCTGAGGAATTGATGGCATTAGTGCATGACCAACAAAGTGGAGAGTTATAGTTACAACAACAATGGAACTGCTTGGAAGACACAACAAGTTATAACAAAATATACAAAAACAATATATAATAGAGAAATAATTAAATCTTACCTGAGGAATACTGTTAACATCAATTTGAGAGACAGTTGTTGGAACATTATGATGAGGTCCTTCCATGACCTGAAAAATAGAATTTTAAAAAAATCTTTATTTACCCTTCTATAGAACTGCTTTGAGCAATAATTGAGGAAACACACTGGCACTACGCATTCATAAATTTAATTACGAAATGGTGGTTATGAAATCGGTGTACAAAATATGAAATCTTCTCAAATTGCTCTAACTATTCAGTTGTTTCTATAAAAGAAAGTCAATAAAATTTCATAATAATTAAAACCCTAATATCCATCACCATAAAACCTTTTAAAAAATGCTAATATTATCTGTTATTCATCAACTGTACTGTACTGTAGATTAATTTTGTCTTTTAGTATAGCAATCTAGATTTTAAATACCAGAGCACACAAACTCCCCACTGCAAATATGCTTCTACTGGCAATACTAATATAATGCCAAGATTATTTCTGCTACACCACATCGAAAATGTAAATGCATTTTAGCAACTTTTGATTCCAGCTGTGTTTCTCTAGCTAAGAGACAGCATAATATTATTGACACGCCTACATACCAAACACATGGATACCAGATTAGCAAGTTGACCCAGACAAAGAATGAAAATTTTAGCATCCCACTTTACAGAGATTTAAATTTAGCAGAATAGAAACATTATTTTTAAACCAATTTCTCGAATAATGAATGATTTGTGAGAAACACATGTTACATTAAATTAAAAAAATGATTTATAAAAATGAAAATCTCACTTAAAACTATAAATTACTATTAATTATAAATATATATCCATTAATATAGAATACTTTTTTAAAACCATTAAAAAAAAAAAAATTACCGTAAATAATAATTTTGTAAATAAATTAAGTGGTCAACTGATTCTTAAGTTTTCAATGCTTTCATTTTTGTTTTTATTCGGTAATTTGAAGTTCCATCTTTCAGAAAATTGGAACCTTGAGTAAAAATAAGAAAAAAACAATAAAAAATACACAGGAAATGTATACGTAGGAGGTTATAAGGGAGAAGGGTGTGAGTGGGCATATTATTTGACCTAGTTCTAACTCTACTACTTCTTGTATTACGATATAGCTTCCCATAATGTATGTCTTTTCCAGAAATATACTTTCTTTATGGTATGGACACTGATACAATTTCAGTGTTTAGAGAGACCCGCAATGATGACGATTATTGTGGTGTTTCGTATTACGTCAATGCTTTAAAAAATATATCCAAAGAACAAAATAGGAAATTTAACTGATTACATGGTGGGCACACATGTGTTATGCAAACAGCCAAATATTCCCATTGCAGGTAGTTATAAACCACCCACATATAATCAGCCCCTTCAGAGGAAACTAGGTGCGTTGCCCAAGCATAAAGCTTCTTGTTTACATTTACTGCACTGTATATATGAGGTCAGAGTTTAGAACTGCATTATAATGTAAACACACTAAATATTCTTTAATATATGGAATGTGTAAACACAATTTGAATACCAATAATCTACGAATATTGACAACAAAAAAATGTTGATATATACTAAATTTATTGAATGTATTATTTTGATATAATGATAAATTAATTTCCCAAACTATCATTATTAACTCTACATTATTTATTTCACTTACTTCAGCAGCGATGTACTGTAGTTACTGTATGGTGGGCGGAGGTAGGCACCACCCAGCCTCAAGTTTTCCAGCCAGTCTAAAGCTAATTTCATGGCCTTCACCCACCCTTCATTAACCTCCTGTCCATCCTTAAAATCTACACTACTGTACTTACTGTATTTAAAGTTGTTGATATCCATCCACCCTTATAATGTCTACAACACACCCTTAGTTTTCTACAGCTACAACTCTGCTTTGGGATTCTTTGATAAAAATTGTGTATAAAATTCTAAACTACATGAAAAAGTGTAACACAAAGTGCCATGAGCAAAATAGACATCTTAAAAACGTTTCCTCCTTGACTACTGTATACTCAACTTAAGTCAAACTTAACAAAGTTATTAAGAGTACACTCACTGTAGCAGATGAGTCAAGATAAGATTAAGGCTACATGTCTATGTTGAATGTACCTTTATTGTAGCCGAAATAAATTGATGTCTACTTGAATTGCTAACAGGCATTTCCTTCCTCCTGCCAGGATCACCTAACCAAAACTGACATAACTCTGGTTAAAAACTTTCTAAATTTGTTAGCTGGTTAACTATGTTTCAATATTGTTTACACATTGTTTATCAGCCCGACATTTGAAGCGATAATTCATGGCTGTACTCTATAGCCTCAGTCATGTTGCTATTTTAATTAGGGAGGAAATTTGTAGAGAATGAAAGTTAAATTTGTTAGATTTATTTATATCTACCCCTAAAATAAAACCATTAGGGTTTCTTTGTTTGAATAAATCTGTTTAATTAAATCTTCGTCGTCTTACACCAAGCTTGTTCTCTGACGTCATCCCAATCGAAGCATGTGTTTGCACACCACCGCCGCACCCCGAAAAAAACAAATTAAGTAATTGGCGGGCAGGGTTTCGGAGGCACGGTCTCCGACCCTCAGCAAAGGTCATTGTGACGACGAAAATGTGTTGTGTTTTGAAAAAATGTACACAAGATCGAAAATGCATGTTAAAACAATATAAAAGCATCAATTTTATTGATACAGTAATTACATTTGCTATGCTGTAGAGCAAAACAACAGATAGGGCCTACTGTACTGTACAGTACTTGAAATAGCAGTCGCTTTTAATGCATCCAAATGTAAGGCACTCTCTACTATTACACTCCTACGTAATTAATTAGGGTTCCAATTAGGGCCTAGGTGTAGCTCTACAGCAGGTACGGTAGCCGCTGGTCCTACCTATCGTAAACGATCTTTTTTTTTTAAATTGGTTAAAACATTTTCAATTTGGCGAAAAAAATTGAAAACCTTTCGCCAAAAATTTGACCCTAGCGTGAGCGTAGACGTATGTTCACTGAAACAAATATTTAAACGATACTTTTAAACACTTTTCCATTAGCACACGGGCTACTTTTTACATGAACTTTAGAGAGAGGTGTTTTTTTTTACTTTTTGTGCAACTTGTTTCTGCTTTTTTTTAATTTTAAAAACAATAACTCAGTAATAATTGATTGACCAACTAGTATCATACTGACATTAAATGAAAGTTATAAACAGCCTGTATACCCTGAAAATGTTCATTATTTACAACCAAAAAAAAAAAAAAAACATTATTTTTTGCTAAAAAAGGCATAAAAGTTCTAAACCATTCAGTCAGTAATATATTAAAACGATGCAGTTACTATGTTTAAACACCTTTTGAAAGATTTAAAATTAACAAGAGTCAACAAGACAGTAAAACTAATGATTAATAAAAAATAAAGAAAAAACTGTGCATTATAAAAAAAAAAAAAAAAAAAATGACAGGATACAAATCTTTAACTTCTTTCTTTAAAGAAACATAAGCCATGTTTACACGCCCGTTTGCTATCAGATCAGTAACACCGATGATCTCCAGTCAAGCGTCTACATGATAACAAAAATCATTGGCTATACCCGGAAGTCATGTGATTAAAACTGACCTGAAAAAACTGGCGCATTGCTGCTTGCGCATTTTTTTTTGTCAAAAAAAGTTTTTAAAATGTATGCAATTAATATAATTTTTCAAAAATATAATTATATTTACGCTGTTTATCAACAGTGAAGACTCGCACAGGTAAAACAACAGCTAACTTGTATCAAATAATGCGGATGATCTCTGTTAACACTACTGCAATGTGGAGGTAATTTTAAAGATCATCGTGGTTACTGATCCATTATGCGGAGTTGCTAACACCGTTTACAAAAAAAAATATCATCAACAGTGACACCTTTATTATGTGTAGAATTAGAATGGAATTAGAATGGAACTAGGCCTAGCCTAGGCCGAGAACTTTGTGACATGTTTAGCATTTGTCAAAATTATTGAAATAAATTAGAGTAGTTGGTTTGTATTGATTATGCACATGGCTATCTAGCCTAGCCTTTGTGAGTACCATAGCACCGGTGAATCACAATTATAATCAACAATAGATATTGATGATAGAGTAGGGATGGGCTAGGCCTAGGCTAAGCTTGGCCAAGGTCCTTTTTGTCTAGGCCTAGCTAGAGCCTATTTCTTTGAAAAATGATTCCACTGACTGCAACACGTCACAAAGTTCTCTACCTAGGCCTAGGCTAGGCCTAGTTTCATTCTAATTCTACACATACATTACAATACAACGTTTTAGCGACAACAGCACTGAGTCAAAATTGTATATAGATAACTTAATCATCACAAATAGTCACATAATAAATTAAAAATGTTCCCTACCTCTGAATTTGAAATGGCCACTTCGCCCCCAGACGCATTTGTCTGGGTCCGAGGAACAGTCGTCGGTTTTCCTCCACCCCTTCGGTTTCGCCTCCTTTTAGACCGCTTGATTTCAGATGAACTCATTTCAAATCTTTAATACACTAAACGTTAATAATTGAGAATGTAATGACTTATAAGTTTCGATGAAGCTAATTTGATCCAAGTTGTTAAAACCCTAACTTTAGAGGTTTTTACTTCCAGAAACACTCATCTTACCAAAAGTAAGAATCCAATATGGCCGGCAGGGTACTATCCCATCATACAACATGAGTGAATCCAGACGTTCACAGTCTAACATAGACTACTAATGCTTCAAAATCTAATCTAATTTTTTTTTTTTTATTCTCCGAATATCAAGAATTAATTACAGTTTTAGAGATCGTTTACACTACCTTGTATTTTATATTCCTTATTATATTAAAGAATTATTGTGTAATTCCAATGGACTTATATTATTGGCAGCAGGACAAACGCCTAATAATATCTTTGCACCGTATAGAGGGAGACATATACTATTACTTATGTATTATTGTTTTGAACTCATAATGATAAACAATAACTACGAATCAACCGGTAAACTAGTTAATGATCAGCTTCAAGACTTATTTTTAGCACAACGGACTGTTTTTGAGAACTTACGATCCCATGTAAGTGTCCTAGGCCTAGACTAGGAAGCCTTAGTTAGGCTAGGCTAGCCCCCTAGGGCCTAGGTCTAGGCCTAGTGGGCCTGGGCCGCCTAGCTAGGCCTAGTTAGTGAGGGCCTAGCTTGGCTAAGAGGCCCTAGGTTGCTAGCTTGTAGTAGGCTTGAGTCAGGCTCATTATTAGTCATGTCGTGCACAGTTTGAGACGTTTGCACAATTTTCAAATTGTACAACAAGCTCTTTCTTGCCAAATTACACAGTTTGCAAGGCCCAAGGAAATCTTGCACAATTTGAAAACTGCAAGGATTCTTGCACAATTTGAAAGCTGCAAGATTCTTAACAGTTTGCAAACTGTGCAAGTATATTGTTGGAATTCGAATAAATTCGGCCCAATCAATTCGACCCCAGTCAACTCAGCCCTAAGTCAACTCTC